TAGGAGACAAGATGTGATCTCTTGCCTGCGGATAAACGACCGCAAGCCGCTGGACTGCTGGAAGGAGGTGGAGATCTTCAAGCGGGAAGTACGGAAGATGGAGGATAATTATGTCTCATCTGTCCTGTAAAGCTAAGCCTACGTGTCGGAAAGCTCGCGCTCCGCCCAAGGCTCCGGATCGAATGTATATAGGGGAAAAAGGGCGCTATCACATCCAAATGGAATCAAAAGGATTGCAAACAACTAAACCTATGGCTCGAATGCAGAGTATCTGTCCCATTTCACACCACGGGCAGGCAAATACGCTTGTCTAATATTGAATTAGATTTCCTGAGAGCACTTTGAGGGTCGATAGCAGAGTTTACAGACGACCATCTTACAGGATGTGATAGTCTTCTCAGACAACACGAGGAGGCGCGTATCCGCGAGATCTTCGGGAGTTCGTTCTTGAGCTCTTGCAAAAGTTACTGGACGCGTCGCGGGCCTCGGTATTTGGTGGGAGAGTTGATTCGAGCAGTTGCTGTAATGTGTTAAACCCCATGCCACATTCACAAGTCGTCACTGAGACTACGCTCATCTATGATCGTTGGAGACATCAGCAACCTGAACCGCCAACTTCATTTCCGAGTCGGGACCGTGAATTCGCCTTCGGTCTTGCTCGCAATGTGGTCTTTCCCCAATTCATGTACACAAGGCATAAGTATCGGCGAACACCAAGCACGCACAGCAGATGAATTGAGAGTGCAATTCTTGTCTCCTGGCAACGTGAACGGACATAATCAGATCGATGCCGCTCAATATCGTACTAGAGGCCGGTCATGGAAGCAGAAGGGTCTTATGCGTCAGGTGTCGAACTCAGGCTCCCTGCAATTCTTTCCTAACAATCCAAGCGCCGCTCGGTCTCAGCTTTCTGTAATACTGCTCAATAAGCATTACTCGTTTGAAGCCGCGTCTGGCGTACCACTCCAGCGCGTCTTCGTTCTTCTCCCACACGTGTGCATATATGCACACTGCGTCCATACCATGGGCACTGGCCGATGACAAGATAGTGTCCAGCAGTAGCGTTGCGAGGCCAAGACCACGGTATGGCGAGAGCAGAGCTAGAGCCTGAATATAAATCTGAGAAGGTGGAGGGTGAGACTGAGTCATGAGGGAAGTATTCGTTGAGCATGGCTCGAAGCGACAACGAATCCAGCCAACAGGTTCTGACGCATACAGAACGACTCGAGATACATTGCTGACAACCGTGTCTGTGATTGTTGTGGTAAAGAACGCATCGCTGTACCGAACAGGGAGGGTCGTAACTGTGAGGCGCCGGATTGCAGAAAGGTGTTGGGGTGAGACCGGAGCAATAAGAGCCTCCGGAAGGCGAGGAATTAAAACAACGTTGAATTGCTGCAGACGGTCACTTGTGCGATCCTTAGCATCAGATCTCCTGATTTCGGGTTGATCTCCTTCAAATTTTGGTGTGGTGACAGCTGGATTGGCCTTTGGCTGAGCCGATTGTCTTCGTGCTGCCTCGATGATACCCAGACCGCGGCTTTCGGTGACTGGTAGACACGTGTCGTGCTCGGTCGTCGGAAGACTGTCTTTTCTGGCAGCTGGCTGGACGGAGGATGTTGGAATCGTCGGTTTTGAGAAATACGAGAGGAGGCTAGCTTGAGGCATGTCCAGATAGCATTTTCCTTTGGAGCCAGACCTTGTTCTGAAGCTAGGACACTGCTCTCGAGGACCGTGGCTACGAGAATCGATAGCGCGATGTGCAGGGGGCAGTCAACGTGTCAACCCAAAACTCCCGCTGAACCGACACGCCAGGGGCGGTAGTTACCGGCGCTAAAAACAAGGTTATCGATGCTTATTGAGTAATCTTAGCGAACCCAAGAACCCTAAGCAGAGCCCCAGAACCTGGCCATTTTATTTTCAGCGTCCTGCATCATCGGTGCTTGCTTTCGCAGCCGTTGCGAACCCTCGAACCACTGTCCGCGTCTGGCCAATATAGCTATACCCCGTCTCCTGTTGGAACACTTCTCGAGTTTGTCTTCACCATCTAGTCTCCGAACCCCTACGGACTCCAAAGGTGTGCCTTTGCCGCGCACGAGCGTCCCCGAGCGTCCCCGAGGTCCTTACCCACAGTGCGTGCGCTTCCTAGCCGGCCATCGTCAACCTTTCCTGAGCGAGACAATACAAACCGAGTGGCACTGAAAAAACATTAATGGGTGCTATTGAATGAATAAGAGGTTGTAGGGTGCGGCAGGGTGTGAAGGTGTCTGAATAGGCAGAGTGCTTTGGCGCAGAAGTCATCCACACGGTTCACAATACTAGTAAGTGAATACACTGCTGGACAATAGTGTACAGCACTATGAATCGTGTTATTCTTGCTATTGTGTGGTTTTCAATGGAGCATCAGGCTTCTGCTGCGATGCCTCTTCCTTCAAAACCACTCTCTTCCTCCTCCTCCTCCCTCGGAGTGTACACGAACAAGAGAAGACAAGCACAGATTTCTCCTTCTATCGCTGTCTTTCATACTGCAAACTGCTGCTGGTCAGCCTTTGCTTCTTTCCTTGTGTTTGCTTGTCCAAGATGGCTCCCAGACGACCATATACCTCCTTGTTCCCTAACAGCATCATCGAACCCGACCTGTGGAAGCGCTTCATGGAAGATGAGGAAATCACTGCTGACTGTCCACCTCCAGTCAAGGACACTGCTGACATGGCTTCCACGAAATCGTCCCATTCCAAGTCTTCCAATGTCAGCTTGACTGCGTCTGATCAAGAGCAGGCGGTTAGTGTTCCAAGAAAGTCCGCCTCGTGCTTCTTTCACTGACTAGTTCCAGATCACGTATATCCTGGAACATTCAATTGAAAGTATCCTTCATGATCTTCTGCTTGAAATCCATCAAGACGAAAAGATTGCTCGGATGCAGACTGCCGTCCTTGAAGTCGAACAGAGAGCTGAGAAACTTACAAACAAGAACTCTCAAGATGCCGATACCGACAATACCGAACAAGAAGCTGTCGAAACTGATGCTGCGGTGTTCAAGTCCGGTCAAGTTCATCTCAAGGGCAATCCGATGAAGACAGTCAAACACATCAGATGTCCGAATTGTCGTCTCCGCCGCTTGCTATACCCTCGTGTTGGTTACAATGCGCGTCCTGTCCCAGATGCCACTGAACAGTACTGCAAGACCGAACCCATGATTGTTCTCGACAAACATGATGTGCATGGTCAACGCAAAAAAGGAGTCAAAGTCAAGGGTCAGGCAAAGGGCAAGAACAAGAAGAAGAAGGATGACCCAACCTCACCCGCTGCATCCGAAAACTCAGATCCACTGACTCCATCTTCATCTATGCCCGCTGAGTCGTTTGAATTCAAGGAGATCGACTATCCGGCTGCCAAATGTCCAAATCGCGACTCTCATCTCGGTGATCACTGGAAATCTGTCAATGTCTTTGCCACTCATCTCAACGGAAGTTGCTACCTGAAGAAGGATCGTGCGGCTGGCCGCGAAGCAAACGCGAAGATTGGTGGTACTCCACGTGACAGCAGGGCCAACTCGCCGAAACCAATCGGTGGTGCCGGCGTCAAGAGAAAGGCCGAGGACGACGAGAGGGGCACGGGCCCAGGCACCAAGAACAAGAAGCAGAGGACTGGTGCGGAGGGGAAGAGGGGGGACAAGAAGGCTCCTCCGAGCAAGTTGAAGGAAGTCAACAATGTTGACGACAGCAAGGTGGGCGGAAGCCCGTTGAAGGAGGTCAACGGCGACACGACCCAAGCGACGCCAACCAAGGCGGCAAGAGACGCGAGCTCTGAGCCGCAAATCAAGCTCAAGCTCAAGGCGGGGGCTGGCGGCGGTGCTGGAGAGGGGCCCGCTCGCAAGAGGCCGAGCAAGGCCAACAAGAAGGAAAGATGAAATGTAAAACTAATACAATGGACATGGTGGGGGCGGCTCTTGTGGCTTCTTTTCTATTGGCGTCCAAGAGGGAGTGTCGCCTCAACGACACCCACCTGTGGTGGAGACAGGTGGTAGACAATATCATGAAGTTCACCAAACTTGATTTTTCCTGGAGACGTCTGTCTCGCATCTACTCGTGTTCTCGTCGCCTTTGTTCCGAGCAAGACGTCTTGCGTAACCGCGAGACGTGCTGTTATAGCTGGAGCAGGTATACAAGTCTCCTTCCGGAAGTTCTCAACGACACACTCCTCATCGCCGTCGGGGACTGCTACCATTCGATCCGGTTCGCTCCTGACACATTCGATACGTACATGATTCCAGTGGTCGCCGATTCCAGTCCTTAGTACAGCACGGTAGCAACAACATCCGTCCATCCCACCAGTTTTCCGCACATTAGGATTCGTAGCCACAACCACTTTACCATCGAATTACCTGTTAGGAACCAGGCAGGATGTTCATGCAGGACACAACGCCCCTACTCGCAAGGCCAATGAGGTCCAGGAATGACTGGATAACCATGGGATAAAGGTCATGGATTGGCCGCCACATTCGCCAGATTTAAACCCCATCAAGAAACACCGGCGGGGTGAAACGCCTCGTCAACGAGATCGATCGTGACCTCAGGAATACTACTGGAGATAGCGAGGCCCTCGGAGAAGGATTTACAAAGCGCAATAACTAGGGCGTGGGCCACGATTAGCCCTGGAAAGATCAAGGGCGGTTGTCAAGTCGATGGATACCAGGATCAAACCAGGATCAACACTGTGATCGCCGCAGAGGGCTGGTATACGCGATATTAATTCGCTTTTTTTGGGCGGAACTAGTTCCATGATACCTAAGCTAGACATCCTACAAATTGTATTAATTTATCATAAAAATTGAGTGTGAAATGGCTACATTGTGTAGTGGTGGTAGTGGTGGAAACACTTGGTTGGGGTGGGCTGGACGGATATTTTTGCTACCGTGCTGTATTGTGCTCAAAGAGCGCTGGGTTGGCGTTAGATCCAACGACTCTATCAACACCACCACCACAGGCACTTATGTAACCTCATGAGCCTCGGGGATTCCCCGCAGGTAACATGGCCTCGACGATGTTGCCCGTGGCGCCGCCCTCGCGACTGTGCCAGATCTTGACCATCTTCAACCCGGCGGCTTCCAGGATCTTGTTGAATCCGTCAGCGGTCCGCTCCTTGCCACCCATCACCATGACGGTGTTGTCCATGGCGGCCGCGGGCAGGTCGGCTTCGTGCACGCGCTTGGGCATGACCATGTCGGCAATGAGGACTTTGCTGTCCGGGCCCATGGCCTCGCGCAGGTGAGCGAGGATCTTGACGCAGTTTTCGTCCGAGTAGTCGTGCACGACGCGGCGGAGGAAGTAAGCCTTGGCACCTTTGACGGGCTGCGGTGTCCAGAAGTCGTGGACCATGGCGGTAACGCCCTCGGGGAGGAGTTTGGAGTTTTGGGCCTGGGCGATGGGTTCGGGTAGATCTTGGAGAACCATGTGGTCGGGGCGGAGGGTCGGGAAGGCCTGGAGGATCTGGATGATGGACTGGCCTTGGCCGCCACCGACGTCGACCAGCGTGGCTCTGTCCCCATCGTGCTCTGGGTCGTAGAGCGCAGAGTAGTCGTAAAAGCCGATGATCGGGACGGAATCCTCTTGGGACATGAAGCCCAGTTGAAACGCGCGCAGGCGATCGGGGAACTGTGCCATGATCTCCCACACAGGATGTCCGTCCATGCCGTGGCGGTGGGTGTATGGATTGCGGAGAGGATCATCAGGCTCTTGCACAGGCTTGCCGTCCTGGGCTGCTCGTTCTTTCACATAGCTGTGAAAATGGACCAACGTGGCCAGGCACTCATCGTTGATGAACTGGAAGAAGTTTCCCGGCCCGGGCACCTGGATGTATGCTCGGGAGAACTTTGTGTGCACGTACTCATATTCAGGGGTCTGCTCGACGAATTTAGTGCCCACGAGGAGTCGAAGTTGTCGTTCTTTCGAGACACAACCATCAGTCTTGCTTTGGCAGAAAGAAGGCGTGAGCCAGTACCTAGCAGTGAGTCCTGGACGCCTGTGACCCTGGACAACTCGGCCAGAGAGATGGATCCATCCACGGGGATCTTTTCGAATACGCCCAGGCCCATCAAGGTTCGAATGCAAACAATCTCCAGCATCTGCCATTGGTCAGCAATCCGTCAGTCTACGGAAACCGGGGTCAAATCGTCACGGACGTTGACCGAGTGGTGCATTGACATATCCGACGGTGCCATCACAAGACGAACAATGTCCTTGGCGATGGCGGCGACATTGGTCCTGGAGATGTAGCCCTGGGAGCCTGGTGCATAGTCACAGGCATTGGCGGCTACAGTGAGTTGCTGTATCAGCTCCTGCAGCTGAGCAGCTTGATCTTGTTCTGGGGAGGGCGACATCATCAAACCCTGTATAGCTTCTATAGCATGAGATGCACAGAGAGCTCAAGGGTGCCTTGACAGTGAAAAGGGCGCTGTCTCAAAGGCTCTAGGGAACAGGTGGGTAGAGGAACGGATGGATCGACAGGAATTGGATTCCGCAGTTGTTGAGGCACAAACCAGTCACGCCGGTGTCTGGCATGGGTGTGAGCAGGGGCCATCGCGGGCCAGACGCCGAACTCGTAGGCTTCATGTTGCAGTGGCCTAGTAACAAGGGAGTTAGATTTTTCGCTTGGATGTCAGGATGTGTCGCAGGTGTTCGTTTGTTGGTTCATATTGGTGGCTGATAAGAATGGCCTGGACTGCGGAGAACTGCAAACTGCAACCTCACACGAGTCCTTGACCGTTTAGCCGCCGAAACCCCACACAAAAAAATCCATCTGGCTACTACAACACGTGGAAGAAGAGACCCTTGTACGAGTGGGCTCCTCTTGTGGGCTCGCTAATGCCGACCCAACACGCATGTTCGCCTGTTCGCCTGTTGTGCTCACATGCCGGGGTACCTTGAACCAGTCAGTCAACAGGCAGCGGGATGTGGAAAGGAAGACCCCATCAACCACGCATGAAGCTTACTCCTGCCTACCAGGTATCCCTCAGGGAATCAAAAGGAAGCGCAGTACCCGCCTCCCTCCATCCTTCATCACCATGTCTTGTCCCCGCTTGCACGGCTTCTCCCATTTGACCTCAAACTTGCCTCATGGAGCCTGACGAAAACAACGATTTTATCGACGAAGGCTATGCTAGCACGTCCGCAAACACTAGTTATGTGACAAGGTGATAGTCTCTTGGTATGCTTATAGGTTTGAGATTCTGACCCCGAGAGTAGTATAGCAACCGAGATCCGCGAGGGAATTGAAGAGTACGGCCGACGATGGGCGTCTTATGGGAGACATTTCTACGGTCTTCCAATTGACGATGAAGAACAGAACCGAAATGACCTCCAGCATTACAAGTTCTTCCTTCTTTATGAAGGACGGCTCCACCTGGCTCCCATCGACCCAGAACCCCAAAACATCTTGGATTTGGGGACGGGAAGCGGGATCTGGGCTATCGAGACCGCCGACAGGTATCCTACGGCAAGAGTTGTTGGCGTTGATATTGCGGCCGTGCAGTCCAACTGGGTGCCACCAAACTGTCACTTCGAGATTCTGGACGTCGAGACGGATTGGGAATTTCCCAGAAACACGTTTGACCTGATCCATGCCCGGGAGTTTCTTTTCTCCATCAGAGACTGGCCTACCCTTATATCGCAGGCATACAAACACCTCAAGCCGGGCGGGTATTTCGAACTTGCCATCACAGTCCCCGAGGTCGGCTGTGATGATGACAGCTGTCCAGCTGATTCAAACTACACTGAAATGGGCAAGCTCTTCTTCAAGATTGCACAAGCAATGGGTATCGACGGTTATGCCTGTAAATTGTGGAAGCAACAATTACTAGACTGTGGCTTTGAAGACGTGCAGCAGACCATCTTCAAAATCCCGACGAATCGGTGGCCAAAAGATCGAAGGCTGAAAACAATTGGGGCGCTCGAGGTCCACAACTTCTTTCAGTATGCGCAGGCTGGCTTTGAGAGAGGTGCTATCGCGCTGCTCGGAATGGATCCAGCAGAGCTTCAGGTGATGCTAGCCCGAACGAGGAAGGAGATTCTGGATCGAAACATTCACACGTATGTGCAATTGTAAGTGATCTCAATGTCGGGAGTCTGTGCGACTTTGACGGCTGACAGAAACGAACCCAGCTACAACGTGTATGGGCGGAAGCCGGGCCCACCGGGGTAGACGGTATGTCCTTGGGGACAAGCCCGATCACCATGGTTGGTGTCGGCGTGGAAATGGGATAGGTTGACGCATTTGCGAGAAACAACTCTGTGAACCAACTCATTGCGCGAGATATACGATCCAGGGGCCAAGTTGTCTCCGTCGAATGCGTTTGGCCATCAGACCTGCAAAGGCGTTCATCCTCGCACTAGGAATCAGAAAAAGGGCGGTCACGGCTAATGAGACAAATCCAGAATACCTCTTCTCGCCCTGAATTTCTGCTTGCTTCGCCAGCACCACTCCGGGCAACTTACGTATCGGCCATCACGGTTCTTCCGTGTATATATGGCTCGAGACCAAAACCCTTCGAAGTGTGCCGCAATGGGAGAGCTGGAATCTTGAGGACACAGCTGTAATGCAGGAAGCTGCCTCTATAGGCCCGTCTGTCCACATGTATATACGAGGACGCGCGTCTTTCTGGTGTGATTGGTCGTGAAGCCGAACGTGCAAGGCTGTCGGTTCAATGCCTAAACATCGGAAGCCAGTGAAGATCCACCCTCCCACTCTGTCTCAAGGGAGTTAAATTACAATGAGGCTGTGTTTCTTCCCGACTTCAAGATCGAATCTCGACACCCTCTTCCATATATCATATCTGACTCTTGTTGGATGCTCGTGCTGCTTGTTTTCCTTGAATTGCACCGAACGATACCATCACCTCTAAGGATGTTTCAACCTCACAGGCTTGCTAGTCTCGGTTAAGATTGACCTGACACAAGTCCTGATTCGAGACATCTCCCACTGGTCTTCGCTGATGGCGCAGCTGCCAACCTCTAACCCTGCATCTTAGAGGCCGCGGGCTGTGAGAGTGACGAGGACGAAGAGTCCAAAAGCCTTGACTTGAAGTTACCGTTTGCTGGATACGGACGGTGGAAGTTTAATGATGATGTCCAAGGCTGCTATCAAGATTTCCAAAGGATTAGTCTTCAGAATAGCAGTAAATCTGGTGTTCCTGATCGCCCTCCTTCAGGGTATCGCACGATGGTACGTCTGTGGACAGAGACCATCGATACAAAATTATGAGCGCTCATACTTCTGGCAGGATATTTCCGAACAAAGTACCGCCTGTTGTTGGACACCCGTCTCATGGCAGAGAGCTTTCCGCCAGATACCCGTGAGTATCATTCAAGGCACCCTTTCTCTTTATTGCGGTCTCTATGCTTCAGATACATCGACCTGATTCCAGGAGCAGGACACAGAATTTTACCATGCCCGTCGACCATTTCCACAATATATCCCGCTATGAACCCCATACGAACTCCACTTTCCAACAGCATTACTGGGTCGACATCAGCAACTACATTGAAGGAGGTCCGGTGATTATCCATGCCATCGGCGAAGACAATCCCGACTATGACCTCGAATGGCTACAGAAGGGAATACTCCATGACCTGGCCAATGCGACTGGTGGTGTCGCTGTCCTCTGGGGTCAGAGGTATTCATGATTCCCATTTTTGGAGCAAGACCAACAAGATAGCTTGGTTCTGATCCTCGATACAGATACTACCCCGGAGGCTATGACATTGTCCCGGACCATCGGTGGACCCGGGAAACTCTTCGCTTCCACAGCACGGAACAAGCCTTAGCGGACCTCGCACACTTTGCTCAGAGAGCCTCGTTCTCCGGCTTGGAAGACAGGGACCTCACAGCGCCAGGCACTCCTTGGATCATCCTCGGCGGCTCATACGGCGGTGTCGTGTCCGCGTTCACCCGAATCCAATACCCAAACCTCTTCTGGGGCGGACTGTCATCCTCGGGAATCACCACTGGAATGCTCGACCACTGGCAGTTTTTCGACCTCATACGACGCCACGCACCGCCGAAATGCGTCGAGGTTCAACAACAACTCACCAATCTGATGGACAACGTCTACGAAAGCGGCAACGAAACAGCCTTGTCTCAGCTCAAGGCTGCCTTCAACGTCTCCGACTCCTCGACATATCCCGACCTCGCGTTTCTGCTGACCAGTCCCTTTTCGGCGTGGAATCGAGCGTGGCATAGAGCGACTGCCCCTTTTGATGGTAGGTCGTCTTTCTCGCAAACACGAATGCGCGGACCGAACCACAGAAAAAACAAGCTAATATCTTTCCCGCGCTCGGTGTCGCCCTCCGCTGTGATATAGGTCCGGGTTCCTACTGTGACGTCTTGACGTCTGCGACTTCGCGATACCATACTATAGAAGCCCTACGTGCGATCGCGCGCTCTCTTCTCACTTACGCGAACGAGACGGCCACTCCAGCCCCCTCGACCCTGTACCACCCGCTGCTCAACCTCTTTTCGCACATCCGCAAAACCCAGACCTACTGCTCCGGCAGAGCCGTGCACGAGTGTCTCTCGCTCAACCGCCCCTCTCCGTTTGGCTGGCTCGTCTGCACCGAGACCGGCGGTTTCGCGACCGGCTACACGCCCGGCGCCGCGGGCCGTCCGCACGCGCTGCCCTTGGTCTCGCGGACCCTGTCACCCGCATACTTCCTCGACAGGTGCAGGAGGACGTACAACACTACGCGCGACGAACCGCGGCTCGACCGGCTGAACCGCTACGGCGGCGTCAACCTGTCGTACCCGCGCCTCACCCTCTCCACCGGTGAGCTGGACTTCTACCGCGGTCTGGGCCCGCTGGCCGAGTTTCTGGAGAACGGCGACCCGAATCCCCGGCTGCGCGGCGTCAACAACGATAGCTACACCGGTGGTGGTGGTGGTAATTATGATGGCAGTAATGATGATGGTGACGATGAGGTGTTGTCAACCGACACGAACGCCCCCGAACTCGTCATCGAGGGTGCCTTCCACGAGTGGGATTTCCCAGGCCTGTTCCCCAACGAGACAACCGTGAAGATGCCCCTGGCGGTGAAACGGGCTAAGGCTACGGAAATCGAGACTGTCATGGCGTGGTTGAAAGAATGGAATGCTACGCGTGGGTTGTAAATGTCTGCACATGCTCTCCATCTCGCTCTGCGCGCGCGCGCGCGCGCGCGCGTGTGTGTGTGTGTGTTTACTTGTATATGTGGTTCCTGATAAAATTGAGGCCGAAGACGTGGGAAAAGGATACATATATACGTGTATGTATGGTGCGAGGTACAATAAAATAGACTGTGAGGCGTAGACCCTTCAGGCACTCCTCAAGACGCCAGCGAAGCGATCAACTACGCGTTTTTGATTAGGGTTGTTCACAGATGGATTCTATGCTACAGAACGATGAAATGAGGCTGTTGATGATCAATTTGATGTTGCTGTTGACGGAAGTTGAGTTAGTTAAAGAGTGGTAGCGGCGATGAGGCGGAATGGAAAGTGAACTCGTTAGAATTAGGATCGGAATAACTAAGATCCGGAAAAGTCGAGTTATATGTCTTTTCGCTAGCCAATAGATAAGCGCAGATAAGGAAAACCAATCAGAAGCGTGGCTGTTCGTTCAGTTTTGTCGGTAGAACCAGCCACGTGCCAGCTCAGCTAATTAAGTTCCAAGTGTATGACGCCGCTTTGGGCCTTGATTATCCGGCCGGCATATGAAGACAACTCTTCCTCTTCCTCCTCCTCCTCCACCACCTCTTCTTCTTTTGCTAGGGACAGATTAATAATACCATCGCGTCTTGAGGAATAAATCTCTTCCAGAATTATATATACGTAGAGCTATATATACGTCCGCAGTACCGTGAGCACTACTACTTCCTTTACTACTTCCTACTTACTACGTAGGTATGTATGTACATGTTTTTTGTATCGGTTTTTTCTCTGTGCATCACTTTTCTCGTCCGTGCGTCCGTACGTCGTCTGCGTCAAGTCTCGTGGGGTTCGTAGCGCATTAAAATAAGTGACAAAACTCTTTATTCCTCTCTTCTCTCTGTAATCTTCTTCTTTTCTTCCTTCCCTTTCCCCAACCACCACCGCTTCTTGTAGCGCCTTACAAGATTCAAAGGGGATGGTCGGTGAGGAGGAGGAGGAGGAGGAGATTGGAACTCTAATGTCCCGGTCCCTTCAATCCCATGCAGTTGGCATAAAATGTCACGGTGGCGGACCAGTCAGAGAAGATGGCCTTGATGCCGATCTCGCGGGCGAGGACGTCGAGGGCCTCGTAGGCTTGGCCGTCATAGGAGATGATAGGGGCGATGGACGACCAGTAATAGTCCTCGTTGGCGCGGACCTTGTCCAGGGGTCCCGAGCGTTCAAAGGACCAGGCGATGATGTCGAGCCCGGCCTCCATGGCCGTGGTGGCGTAGATGGAGGGCACGATGGTGTCGTTGGGACCGGTAAAATTTAATAAATAGTTATAAGGTGGCGCAACTATCCTGACCCCGCTAGCCTTGAGCGCAGGGAGGCGGTTCACTGCCGTGGTGAAGTTGGAGGCCACGTCGCCGTCCTCGTCCAAGAACACGGCCTGCTTGCCCCACTCGGGGAACTCGTTGAGCCACAGGTAGATATCGGCTGGGGTGAAGGACTGCGGCCACACCCGCTCAGGCGCGATGCCCTTCTTAACAAACGTGTTGATCATGTCTCGTGCATACTGCGCCTGCGTGTACCCGTGAAACGGCATGGGAACCTGCGACGGCGGCGTCTTCAGCTCCGGTGTGAACATGCGGTGGCCCGGTAGCGACTCGACCAGGTCGATCCAGCTCTCGAGCGTCATGACCTGCGCGCACGTGTTGTACAGGTCGGTTCGGAATGAGGGCGTGCCGTGTTGGTAGTCTTCGGGGGTGGTCGCCGACGCGTTGAAGCCGTCCATCTTGCTGCAGAGCGACAGGAACTCGGCCTCTGTAATGTCGCTGGTGCAACAGAGCGCGTCCGCATCGGCCGTCGCATTCGCTGGGGTAAACGGCTTCGTACACTTGGCGGCGAGGTCGGGTCTGAGCAGAATGTCGGTTGTCGTGTGCAGGTCACAGAGCGAGTGTCTGCAGACCAGACCCAAATCAGATGTGAAGGCCACATCGCACTCGAGGATTCCGGCACCCATCCGTGCACCGGCCATGGTGGATTCGACCGTCTCTTCAGGGAACTGCAGGGTGCCGCCGCCTCGATGGCCGATGCTCCAGTTGGTGACCTCGAAGGGGCCGTTGAAACACGACTCGAGCTTTTGCTTCAGCGGGCCTTCGGTCATGTTCTGGACGAGGTAGTAAGGGCGAGGTCCGAGATTGACGTAGTAGTCATCCTGAGTCGGGTGTTGCCCTCGAGGCTTGTTGACGGGCACTGCGCCAGCAATGTCCGCAGCCAAGGCCACCATGGCCAGATAACTTGTCGTGGCACGCATCTTCTAGGTCAGATTTAGATTGTACTTGGAAGCTCTGAAACTCTGCCCACCGCTGCCTGGGAAAAGAAAACTCGAGTCGAAGAAGATTGTGCAGAGGACCGCGAACACCTACCTTTTTGTAGCTTACACTGGCCAGAGAAGCTACCCAGCAAGCTCATAGCTTCCTGCTCCATCAGCGGCATTTGTCTGCGTCATGATCGCACGTGGTAGATTCGAGGGACGGCAACGTGCTCCAATCTGGAAATTTTTGGGAGCTTCTCTGGTTTTAGCTCGTGTGAAGCTCAGCAGAACAATCCCTCGCTCTGCCCAAAGTCGCACCACCACTGCGGTTCCTCCTGCTATCGAGCAAATAACATTCATTGATAGGCAACGTGGACTGTTGTACCTGCATCCTGAGGTGTCGGTCTCGGCGGAATCCCCGGCTGGACTGGGTGGCATGGGTGGTACGTGGGCGATAGAAGCTGTTTGCTAGGCTGAAAATCGACATTGAAGTACACAAATCTGTACCCCGCTGATGGATGTGGTTCGATCAGCAGTCCTGGCCACGACGAGGTCTTGGCTGCATATGTCCAGTGGCCATTGTAGCTCTGTCTTCCAATGATAGACCATCTCCGCCTGAAGCGAATACCACAATATGGCCGTAGCTCCTTGGCATGTCGGGGCGGAATGCCACCCCGCCAGGAAAACCCAGGGAAGGAATCTCACGAGAGGGTTAGAGTTTCCCTTCCGGAGCTGGATCGTCAGCCTGTGCCTGCACTTGCGTCTTGTCTCAGGCCAGCAATGCCGGTCATAGTTGTCCAATAGAGCGTGTCTTTGTTATCATGCCGTTAGAGTGATGATCGTCATTGGGTGTAAGGAGATTTTCTGAGCTTGTAGGCCCTCCTATCTATCTCTTAGCTGTAAGTTAGATCTAATAGGCGGCCGCCTAACCTGTATTCCCAGTCTCGCTAGGCGCTGTAGGCGTTGAGTATTAAGCTCTGATGTCTTTTGATCAGCCTGTCATTCTCTTACTAGCGTCAACAATACATGGGACCCTAGTTCGGGGCCGGAAAAACATATCGCGGGATGATGAACAGTGTTGTCGCTTTCATGATTTTACTTGTATCTCTACCAGGAACTATACCATTCCCGCAGTTGTTGACTTCTGCAGTTCAAACCATGCCCAGAATGAAAGACCTTGGTGGGTAAATCTCACCAACGTAAAATTTATTTGACAGGGTCCGATGAGCTCCCCAAAGACACAAACGGGTCGATATCACCAGTTGATCTGGAGCGCTCCATCCACAAGGTCGACAGAGCCGGTGGTGTCGTGATCATCGTGGCCACCCTATGCTCTGGTTCAAGCGAAACATTCGCTGGCACGGACGGACGTTTGTCTCCATTCATCACGATCAGCATCTCCTTGTTCTGTCTCTTGGATGACAGATACCATGCCAAGAAGACCACAAAGGTGCACGCTCCGGTCAAGGCGAAGTATAGCCATATCCACTTTGAAACAACCTGGTCGGAGTCTCGAGGGAGAAACATGAAGAAGCCAGAGCTGAACAGGGTCGCCATCTTGTGGTCCCGATAAGTTAGTGGCTGGCTCGAAGACTGATTTGATACATGGGCCTCGAATATTGCGAGGTTGGTTTTGATTTAGAGCCTCTGATCAAAAGGTTCGAGGGAACCACGAGAAGTTGGTGAGAAAAGTGACCTACAAAAGTGCCCGGAAGAAAAAGCAGGGTCACCACTGCAATGATACGCATATCGGTGCTGTCCTTGCGGGTGAGAATGGCAACATTCCTCGAATCTTCGGCCATGTCCCTCATGGCGTTGCTGTGAACGAGGCCGGTTCTCGCGATCATTTGGGAAGTCGCTGCGGTCTCGATGTTGAGATTGTTATCCTTTTGACCGATCATGCTGTAGACCTGCAAAGACGGATCAGCAACTTGACAAGCACAGGAGCTAGTCGAGGCTCTGACTGTCTGGACTTGAGCCCGCGTCCGCGCGGACAAGACCTGTCCATGAAGTTGAGCACCAACAATCAATTCACGCAGATACGAAATTCTCGTGTCAAGGCCATTCTGGACGGTGAGGCCACTGCCCTCGAGACGTTTGTGGTTGAGTCGATTTCGGACAGTGCAAACGATCTCCAAAGCTCTAAGGCTAGAAGCAAATGTCATGTCGCAAAACGACAAAGTTCCGGTTACGCCTGTAAGCTGCGGGTTTCTGTCAGCCTTTTTGCCGACTTTGGCATATAGACGGTACCTTTTGAGTGATCTCGTCAAAGTTGAGCTCTTTCAGGAGTCTTTCTCTTGCTCTGTCTCTTGCTGCATTTCGGCTGGGATTGGTAGAGAAGCCATGTCTCATGCCAGTTCTATACTCAAGCTCCTCAATGCCTTGGGCGCGCGATTCAAGAAGCACGGCGAAATAGTGGACCTTTAGCTCCAGCAAAAATACTGGTAGCAGCATGGAATCCTGCAGATAGTTGGTGGACTCCTGGATACATTTGAGCATCAGTGTCGTCTCGTCAGCTTGCATACCGTTCACGATGCCGGAGATGACTTTGGTGTCCTCATTATAGACAAGACCAAGGCAAAAATTCCAGTCTCTCGATCTTGCACTCCTGGCCATAAGCCCCGTGATCAATTCCCCTGTCAAAGCCTGGGTCTGGAATTCTGTGGCTATTGGTAATGTGCTCAGCATCATGCGCAGCAGCTCTGTGGGCAGATTCCACGTGGTTCTGACAGCCTCAAAGGTGTTTTGAGAGATTGGCAGGGGTAGAATCTGCGCGTCGCTTTTATGCTGCTCTGGACTGCCAATCAGAAGCTGGAGTCGGAGACGATGGTTGCTGAAATCCTTGTCTACCGCCTTATCTGATTGTAGAGAGGCATGAGCAGCTATCTTGGTGGTGATCTCAGACTCGGCAATTTCGCGGTCAAGCAACACCAGCCCACCGCCATCCTATGACAAGTCAGTCTGAGGTTCTGATGAAAACCTGGAAGCCTTGGTTCACATCTGGCTCCCACACCTCGACCCATCTGTTGCCCGCCCGAGGCTCAAATTTGGATGGGTCGTTCAGCAGTTTGGTGTAATAGAAGTCATACATTGCGCCGACACAGGATTTATTCGCGAGGAGTTTGAGTAACGTTGCCTGCTGTCAATCTCGTTGCCTACGAAGCGAGGCACAAAGTCTGTGGAGCGCTGTAGCAACATGAATCAAGTCCGACTGGAGGGCGGGGTGACACGCCTTTATGAGGCTGAGCATTGCCAGCCGCAGTTTGCCTTGGGCTGCAAGGCGACGCATTAGACCATTTCAATTCAGCCGCTCTGCAGCCAAGATGGTAGTCGGCATGTAGGGGCCAGTGGGTGTAAATAGCACCTCGTATTGAAACGGACATTGTGATAGCATGCGCAGCGTGGGATGAATCAGATATGTTTGCCAGGAAGAAGACCTGAAGGTCACCAACCCTCAAGTGCCTGGCGAGCCTTGGAAACTCGAAGCGCCAAGCTGCCAAGTGCCCCCCCGTCCAAGTCACCTGGGCAGCACTTTTTACTTGGATGCACCGAGGGTCAATTTGACTTGTTTCGTATCAGTCACTTATCCTGCACCACAAAACTCCTATCTCATCTCGGACCTACAAACAAGCCATCAACGTGGTGTCTTAGGCGCCGGAAATCAGTTGAGATGAGATGAACCGTGCTAGAGCCTCATTTTGACCTCTCGAGATCGTATCCAATACACTTCATTACACACAGGTAGACCTCAGGTTCTCCAGACAAATAGACGGACTCCTACGTCACAGCACATCACAGCACATCGCTCACGACCCTTAGGAGACCTAGAATATCCCGCCTCGTCCAGCTGCAAACGAAGACCACATGCAGGAGCCACTAATTGGTTGCACATGGCTCTGCTGCGAGCACGCCTAGCGCGCACCTCACCATTGGTAATAGCCAGATCGTCATCAAGACAGCTCCTTTAGGATACCATCCACGCCGGTCAACCAGGACCAGTTGAATTGGTCATGATCAAACAGCCAACCAGCTAGCTACCCATCAGACCGCCCTGTCTCCTTCGTACAGCCTTGACATCTAGCATCGTTGATAACATCATCCACTTAGCGGGTGAGTCCGAGTCCATTCTTCATGGGACACTGCACCATGTTCACACCTGGCTCTGATAAATCCTGCTCCCTCACATCAGATGTGCTCGATCTCTCGAAAAGGCGGACAAAGTGAACACCAAGATCTCCCCGTGTGGAAAAAGAACCCGACAGCTCCGCTACCCAATCCCAGAGACTTTCCTCCACCCACCCCGGGGGTTTATCAATCGTTTCTTCTTCCGTCACCCTTGTCAAAAATCTCTTCCTCCCCCACCTCTCTAGTCCCCAGGAACACTTGCTTGCATATGTACTCCGTATGGCTGGCAGGAGGACGAGGACGGGGGATTGGCGATCCGGCAATCTATCCGTCTCCCTCCCCTTCAACCTACATATCCGATCGTTCCGGAGCGCCCACAGAGCTAGCCGTGGCTTCATACGCAGGTACACACATTCGCCTTGCATCTCGATGTGAAGGACCCATCCCCCCCATCCCTGTATACATTGCGTAAGCTTTCCCGCAAGCTTTCCCCAAGCTTTGGCCAAACGGCACGTGGGCCCTGTTGGAGAAGATATCCGTGGCCAGTGGTTTCCCTTCTGGCCCCTTTCGGTTTAGACACTTTGCTTGTTTTCTCCAGCTCCCTTTGTCACTGGTCGCTGCAGCGAAGGCCACTAATCATTCCGTCAGCATCACCCAGCAACACCCAGCATTTGTCACCACCAGTGTTACTTCCTCTCCGTGATCCGCACGTACCGACTAGCTGACTGGAAGGGGGAGGTGATCGACAACCTGCACGAAATGTACGTACTTGTGGCTGCAGGTGTCCTGCGTGTCTCGCTTGTGCCACATCCTAAACGGACGTCAGCAACACTTCGTTCTAGATAAGACGCATATCGAGTGCTTGGACGCGAGAGACAAAGAAAAGTACAAGACCAACGATTGTGAGACGTACAGATCATGGTCATACTAATGTATTATTCTACACAATCCCCCACTATTGAATCGTGGTGACTGCCACTAGAAACGCAAAAAACTTTCTGTATCAAAGAAACTAACGACGGGAGAAATCGTCTAGAAATTCGTTCAAGCGGCCTTGTCACCCTCAACAACACCGTCGCTGGTAGGCTGGGCGACGTATGAGTCCTTGCGGTGACCTGCACTCTCAGGGTCGTAGTTCTTGGTGCCCGGCACCTCACCAGCAAGTTCTTCGAGAGTCTTGCGCTTGGTTTCGGGAATGAGGAGAGTCGTGAAGACACCGCAGAGCATAAAGAGAGCAAAGATCTCCATGACGTGGTCGAGCCAAGGAGACGGGTTGTCTTTGGTAGGGTGTCCCTTGGTTCGGAGAGGGCCAAAGACGGTCTGGGCGACAATGGCGCCAACTTTACCCGAGGCGGCCGAGATACCGTGCGAAGTAGATCGATAGCGAGTGGGGAAGCATTCGCCGGGGACGATAAATGTGGTTGCGTTGGGCCCAAAGTTGAAGAAGAACTGAGCCAAGACGTAGAGAGCCAGAAGTCCACCTTCATGAAGATGGTTGTAGGCAAAACCGATGATGATAAAGATGATGGTGAGGATGATGAAGCCCATCAATTGGATAGGCTTGCGACCAACAGTATCCACTGTCGCGACCGTCACCCAGTAGCCTGGAATGGCGCCTGCGCAGACAATGATCAGGTTACCAACAGCGGTGTTGTAGAAAATCTCGTAGACGTTGTCACCCTTGGCGTAGCCAATGGCCTGGAGAATGATCGAGTTGTTGAGACCGAGACCGTAGAAAGCAACGTCGAGGAAGAACCATGAACCAGCAGTTCCGAGAAGGACCTTTCCATGCTTCCATTGGCTGTAGTGTCGCCAGAAATCATGCCAGCTGGCCTTGGGGGTTTCGAGGCGCTGGCGGGAGTCTTGCAAGACAGCTGCGCGGCTAACTTCGTCGGGCTTGCCCTCATGCTGTCCGGATCGGTAGGCCTTGACATCCTCGACAGCCTTTTCCGAGTCACGGGCAACATCGAAGGTATAACGGGGAGTCTCGGGGATGGTGAGACGGAAGTACAAGGCAATACAACCTGGGACTGCGCCAAACCCAATGATGACACGCCACATCTTGTCAACCGCAAGTTGGCAAACACCATCACAGAGGTCGACAGTCTTAGCGGTCTTGAGGGACTGATGGAAGCCAGAGACGACGATCAAAGCAATGATGGCAGCAGTAAATTGGCCAATACCTTGCATAGCAAAGACGGCACCCATCATGGCACCTCTCCACTTGGTCGTGGCGAACCTGTGAATGATGAGACACTTGCCCTCGATAGACATGGCTTGAGACGTGTGAAGACTTACTCGGAAGTGATGATGGAAGAAAGAGGATAATCACCTCCGATACCGATACCCATCATTACTCGCCAGAAAATGATGAGGCCGACAACTGAGATGGCAGGAGAATCCGAGGACAGAGCTTGGGCAAGAGTAGCGAAGATAATGAGGATCAATTCGAGACCGTACATCCGCTTGCGGCCAACGATATCGGCCAGCCAACCGAAACCGACTTGACCGATGACAGTACCACCAGAGGTTGCAACTTTGATGGCAGTGTCTGAGTTGGTAGGGATCTTGCCGGCATCTTTGGGGTTAGGTGTGTCCTGCCAGTAGACGACACCCAACATGGCCGTGACCAAGTTGATGGCAAAGATATCATAGGCATCGGTGAAGAAACCAATACCGGCGACCACAACGGCGCGGACATGATACCAGCCAAAAGGAGCCTTGTCGATCTCGGCGAGGGCAAGTCGTCGTCGCTCGTTGGGGTCCTGGATATGGGCAAAGTCGTTGTGGAAATTGTGGAATGCGGCGTTGCCGCCAGCTGTTTTCATCGCCATGGCTGGCAAGTTGTTTCAATAAAGTCTGGTCAACTTCCAAGAGTCTAAAAGGAAGTCAAGACAAGACAAGCAGTGGAAGAAGGCTTGCTTGAGGGACAAGGCAAGAACCGAGCGAGAGTCCAAGCCGGCAGGAACTGTACTACATATACCTTTTGGAAGATAGGTCACATCGCGTACATACCAAGGCTCTGGGCGCAGCATAGGCCAGGTGAATCTGAAAAAGTTCGACAGGGTGGAGTGCCAGTGGGCCGACGAGGCGAACTGCAAGTGTCAAGACAATACGATGACACAGTCCCCACTTGGACTGTCCCCTTTGACAGTGCCCAGGATGGCGTTGTGCGAGCCAATGGCTAAGGGCCACCGAGACACGCCATGAGCAGAAAGAAATAGGATTTCTCGTGAGCAGGCGCATCGAGATGAATCTGTCGAGGACCCCGGGATCAGCAGAAGGAACCAGGGTGGATTTTGCGAGGTAGAGGTGGGCTGCCCCATGCATACACCCTGGCTTCCTCCGCTGCAATTGGCCTCACCACCAATAAGATCTGTGAGCTTCGATCGGGCGGTCCTAGCCTTACTCCCCTTCTCTCCCGGCCGTCTTTCAAGGGTTATATTGATCCATTGGATATCAAGGGCATCGTGATCCTTGTCGCTTCCAATAACCGCTTTGTTCGAGAAGCCTTCAAGTCTCTTCTGGGCGCCAAGTAGACCAGTGAAATAGTGTTTCGGGAAGAGCCCAAATCTACACTGAAAGAACAAACCACAGACGGCGCGCTTGGAACGTGGCCGCGGTGTTGCCAGAGTTTGATATCATGAAAGCTTGGCTCTGATTTCACCGTTTTCTGTCGAGATCCAATGGACAATCGAACACCAGTTGTAAGTCGAACGATCAGCAATCTCGCTGGACAAACCTCAGATGCTGCATTTTGTCGACTACCGATCATGTTTGGTCCAATTACCTAATGGCAGAGAATCAAAACCCGTCTACTCGTAGAGTCATCAAGACACTCGGTAGAAGTGCGAGACTAACGTCGCCGTGGCAATCTCACCGGCAATACTCTTCCATGATATTGTACCGAGTTCGAGTAGCTTGGTGTGCGCTTCGTCGCGTCGCCCGGTCAGATTTGTTGTATAA